TGGTGGGGTCAACATTCCTCCCCCGGGAAAATTTTGATTTTTAGATGGCGGGAAATGACCTTTCTCGACTTTTGAGCTAGGTGTCTAATTACTTTGTTCTTCAAAATTCAAGGTTTTCCCCCTCATGAAAACGGTAAGGTTAACTTTCTTAGCAGTCATACAAAAATCTCCAGACATTATATATTTTTCGCCAAAAAGTGGGGGGGGGCGGGCCCCCCGGCCCCCCCGCTTCCGCCGGCCATGCATTTGACATTCAGCGGCTCTTTTCGTCATTTGGCCAATTAAGTCAATGCATTCAGAGTGTGGTGAAATGATGGGAGAGGATGATGTGTGGCACATTTTTAGGCAGTTTGTACTGTATACGGTACACACACTGATAATAGTTCACAAGTTGTGATTATGGTAATCCTCAGAAGTATGGAATAACCCGATACTATTTTAATATTCTATTCATTTATTATTTATTTATTAATCTATCATAATAGGTCTAAGAACAACAACATCAATTATCAAACGTGGTTAAACATGCAGGTGGGTACAACTCGTCTATTCAAAATTCATCCCTCCTCTTCGTCGGTCGCCCTCTCCTGTTCCTGTTGGTTTCGAGGTTGACGAGGCCTCGTCGCGAATCCTACTATTAATTAGACTCTTCCAGGTATATGACCGGGCGGGGTTAAGTTAAGTCACTTTTTGATGGAAGGTAATTGTGTTGATTTTAGTATTACTCGATGAGAAGGTCTTATGAACATCATAATTTATAATAAAATATTGTCATTGTCACATTTATAGTGTTTTTAAGTTGCCTCGCACTTTTGGTACAATACTACAATTTTACTTCGTCCTGCCTAGCTGCGATTTTTATGAAACCAGACTCAGCTTTAAACTGGTTTAAGTCACTGTGTGCGCGCTGAACCGTGGAGATTCGTCGGTACCCGTTTGCGATTTTTTTTTTTCCTGTACGAAACATTTCAATGAAACTGCGCTCGGGCAGTATCGACTGACTCGACGCAAACACCTAAAATATTGCAGAATTCAGGAGTTCAAAAGGTCATCAACCAAAGATGACAAAAGTAATATTTGATTGAGCTGCACAAGTAATGAAAAGTGTTATTCGAATTTGAGTAATATACTGTGAACATTTTTATTTTTAGTTAGGTCTATGTTTTTTAATAAGTCAATGCCTAAGCCTATAACTACTGTACTAAACATTATATATAATACGCAGAGAGTTTGGATTGGCCATGTACTAGAGAATGTGATCACTTTCAACATCACGCAACAATTTTAAAGGCCGCTTTCAGGGGAAAGCACGAAGGGGAAGGAAAAGATTTATTGATCAAATGAAACAGGTGACAGTTTTTCTTCTTTTTTTTCAAATTATAAGAATACCTGAGAATATAGCTCTAAAATATGTCATAAGACAGGTGTTATGGCATCCTATATTTTAGAGCTATATTCTCAGCTATTACAAGGCTTAGGCCAAGTTAAGTAATGCCAAAATAATATATATTTTATTATTATTATTATTATTATTATTATTATTATTATTATTATTATTATTATTATTATTATTATTATTATTATTATTATTATTTATAATTATTAT